GCCCTCCCCATCTGCAGTATGCAGTTTCTTTTCTGTATCCTTCAACCCAGTTTACACAAAACAAACCATTAGTTTAATCTCTTTTAATCTATCTGTATTTAAGAGGTACATAATCCTCTACTGTTTCCTGTCTATATTAACTATACCATATACTAGGATATGCTGTTGGCTTGGGTAAATCATTAAACTGAGTCAGTAATGGATAAGACAAGTATTTCTGTTCTCAAACTATTCGCTAAGTTACTGTACTGTTTTAGAACATTCGTGCTTGTGAAGAAGGATAACATCTTAGGTTATGTTTTTATTTCTTCTCACAGCACTGGTGCAGTGATTCTTGTCCTTATTGTGTCATATCTAGGACAAATTACTTCACACATAAACACATTTAAATAAGAATGACTCATCTTATGGCTCCCATTCTCAGATGAGGAGTTTACCAGCTTTATTCCTTTTCCCTTGTAGCTACGATGTTTCAATCCTCACTTCTGCTTGTCACGACGGCTCCCTACTCCGCCACCCGGATCACCACCCTCACCCTTCTCTCTACGCTATGGTCCAGAAACCCCACCACGCTCCACCCCCAGCATGTAAGGGAGACATGGCCGCAATGATCGAGGTGAAGAAAGATGAGGCGGACCTGGACAGAGATGGCTTCCCATATGACACTCTCCACATCTACGGCTACGAGGGACCGGAGTCTTTAGCTGGAAGTCTCAGCTCTCTGGAAAGTTCTTCCACTGGATCAAATTTGGATTACGATTTCCTGAATGACTGGGGGCCAAGATTCAGGACCCTGGCTGAGCTGTATGGAGTGGATGGACCAGACTACTACAGTCACTACTGATGGAGAGTTTCTGCTAACAAGTGTACCTGATGCCAAAACACACATACAAACACACACACATTGAAAACAGCCATAAAATACACACAATCCCACACACATACAACCAGGCTTCGATGCTGTCTGTCTTGTTTCTGGTCAAGGAGCTTCAATCTTGCAGATAACTGTTCTCCAAAGACTCCTCTAGCTTCTGAAAGCAGAATCAGGTCGGTCTGTTTTCCAGTGTAACATCGACTGCCTTGTGTTATCAAGTGTTATTCACCAAGTTTGTTGTTGAGCCTCCCCACTCAGTAAACAAGAGTGTGATCACAATCCAGAGCTTCATCATGATGAATCCAAGTATTTTTGTTGTGGCGATGACTCTTTCTTTTTGCCTCTTCCAGGATGTTGGGGGAAAAAACCCCAGCAATCCCAGGAAATGATGCTGCAAGAGAAAGTGAGAGCTAACTGGTGACCTTGTGAGATCCAAACTGCATGGATGCTTTATATTTCATCACAGCTGTGTGATCTTTTTCATCATAACCCCTTTGTTCTGCCTTCAAAGATCTTACATCCAATCAGATAAAACTGTGAACTGTAGCAAAACAGAGTTAATCTCAGACAATGCATGATATAAGTTCATCTGGTCACTGCTGGCCACTAAGGCTAAGTCAAGCCACCCTGCGAAGGAAACTTATTTTGACCGCTTATATTCGCAGTCTTATTCTTTTGGTCCCTACCCACGGCTTGTGACCATAGATGAGGGTTGGAGGACTGACTGGTAAAATGAGAACTGACCTTTTGGCACAGCTCCTTCTTCACCACAACAGTCTGGTATAATGTCAACATTACTGCGGATGCTGCCCCTATCCGCCTGTCAATCTCACGCTCGATTTTACTCTCACTTGTCAGATATGGGGGTGCTCACTATCAATCCACGCCGCTTCACAACATAGTTTTAAATTAGTTTGTTCAAGTCACTTTTGGGATGCACAATGGTGCGTGTCAAAGAAGCTCACTGCTGACTTGAGTTTTTTGCCACACTTACTCCTCTCTTTGGTATCAACAGCCTGTAATCTCTTTGAACTTTAATGCTTTTTATATTTGACGAAAGGGCTACAAACATGGAAAAATGGTGATTTTACTTTAGATTAGATATTTCTGATTTGATTTGTAAATATAATTAATTAAGGGGTAGGTGGATTGAGGTGAAAAACTTTGAGCAGCCATAAGAGTTTTACCTCAAAGGGTTTTGAAGTGTTTGAACACAGTGAGATGCCAGTGATGTTTTCTTCATTTGAAAAAGGACCATCTTCCAGGAAAGGTCACCTCTGAAAACCCCACACCGTTCATGAGTCTGTGGTTTCGACTCAGTTATTATTTGGTATGCTCACTTTCTCACAGCATATTGTTAGTGATTCCCTACATTTGACCTGGCATTAGCTGTTTGTCCATTTGTCAAGAGAGTCAAGACAAATTTCAGACCAGGTGCATTAAAGGTCCCTGATTTTAGCATTTTTCATGGTGGAAACCTTAAAACACCTTTCCCTCTCTGTGTTTTCAGAAACAACCATCTGATATCAATGAGGAGTCATTTTCTAAGAGAGCCATTTTGTCCATTTTCCTAGTTATCTTCTGGTCTGAGGAGAAAAAAAGACTATAGACAGACACACAGAAAGGAAATGGCAGTACTTGTGCTCAGAAAGAATTACAATGTGTTCCCAGGTTCTATTTGACAGAAGCCATCATCACAGCTATTGTTGAGAAAAAATCTCAGAGGCCTAGTAGGACAAAAGTGATTCAGACAGCTCAGGAAACGCTGAGTGGCAAAAGCAACTATTGGGCAGCTGTGATGACTCCTGAGGTGGCATGAATAACTTTAACCTCTCATCCTTTTTGGCTACTGTTGGACCATAAAGCCTCTGATCCAGAATTTCTTTTGAGATTTCTAATTTGTTTGATTCTGTGCAGTCTATTTGCTCTATAAGTAATCAGGAACAATCGCTCCTATGGGCTGTTTGATCCCTGGCCTGTAGGAGAAGACTGTAGAGAATCTGGCAAAGAACTGTGTATTAATGATCCACTAGAATTAAAACAACAAAATGTTATCTTATTGTATAAATGACGGGCCTGAAGATAAATGATGAAGAAAGACTTTTATTAAGGTAAAATGTCACTAGTGACCACTTTAAAATCTACTTTCCTGATTATAAAATGGTGCCCATTAAAATTAGTTGACATGACAATATTTATGAGGTTCCACACAGTCACACACTCATGTGTATTCAGGACATTCCTTTTTTATTTAATTTAAATGCAGTGTAGAGAATTTTGTTTATTTACTTGACTGTTTATTCTATTTAGTTTGGACTTGAACTTGTTTCATTGAAACCCTGGCTTCCTTTGAATGATAAGCAGTGGATACAATAGCTGGAAGCCCCATCAATGCTTTCCTGTTGGTTCATATATATACATAAAGCAGCCGGTTCCTCCACCTCACTCTAAGTCTTTATTGGGTTTTCCTGCTCTCCCAGTTTGTCCCACCATATCTCTCCCACTGTCTTTCTCCCTCCGTCCTTTAATCAGCTAAACCAAACAGTGGAGTCAACTTCCTGTCCATCTGGGGGCTTGTGCCCGCCCCTTCCTGTCACTGTTATCTCTCGTGTGAGCCAACATATTGTGCTCACTTCCTGTCAGCCTGGCCTGGGAAACGGACCAATGCAAGGAGACATAGGAGATGAGGTTGGGGGTTAGCAAGAATGAAGGTGAACAGAACAATGTGGCACAATGATGACTTTTCCAGCTGAGCAGAAACACTTCAGAGCAAAGATAAAATGCTGAGACATGTCATACATGCAAGCGTTACCTGGGCATCTGTGTGAAGCAACCTGGATGAACTATTTCTTAGAGATCAATGTAGAATACCTCAAATAGAACTTTAAATTTACACTATTATAAACAACTTATTACTCTGGCAACCCAAAGCGGCAGCTAAAAAAAACCCCATTATATTAAAATTTGAATTTGAACTCAACATTTGTTTTTGCCTCTTATGTTATCATGATTTTTACATGGCAACGTTTGCACAGATGATTACATTCCAGTTGCAAATAAGCAAAAGAAACTAAATAGAGGACCAACTTTAAAAAGCATATTAAATATTGTGATCACTTTTATTACTGCTGAAGACATTTGGTTTTTAAGTGGGTTTTAAAGTCATGTCTCAGTTAATTGAACAAACCATTGCTAACTGTTCTGGCTGCCATGTTTGTTTGGGGCAAAAAATGGAGACTGAGTTTACTTTTTGTTTCACTGTACAATACAGGGAATATTTCTCTTGTCAAGTCATCTCATACCTGTATATCTCAAGGAAACCATATTTTATTTTTATATTTGTTTGTGTATTATTACTGTTATCAACATTAAAGCTTTTATTTTTAAAATGTGGGTATATGAAGAAGAAAATGTTGATATCCGCAGCCTGTAGCAGACAGAGGTGCTCCGTTATCTTCTCTCCTGACAGCAATAATGTTAGGGTGAGATGATCTGAGACAATGTTAGCCAGCAATGTTTTCAATTTGATTAAAAACATACTGCATACACATCTGGAAGAGTCATTAATTGATTTGGAGTAGTCGGGCAGGGTTTATTGTTGCACATGAATCGTTTTTTAAGCAATATTTGTGTTTGATGTGTAGGCTGGCAACATAATAACTTAAGGTTAACCCTAACTGCTCAACCCATAAGACCCTGTTGACTTCATATTCTAATCATTTATGTTCTTATTCACGCTTCACATTCTTGAGGACTTCTTTATTCTGAAGCACTTTGGGATTATCTCTCAAATCCACCATGAAACAGTGATGCCCTAAAAAAAGTGCCATATTTAATTTTTTATTTATTGATCATCTGTAGTTTTGAGGAAGCATTTATCTCCTTAAACACTTTGGATTCAGTCTGTGAGAATAAATCTGTCATCCAGGCACAAAAGCAGTTGTTTATCTTTATTTAAAAAAAACCACAGACAGTATGTACTGACATACTGCTTTAAACATATAACATGAAATTACACTTAAATCACTTCACTGACTGTATCCCAGGTGTTAGGGAGAGAAGTGTAAATAGAAAAAATGTGCCTGATAGTGACTTTTTTCTGGCCTCACCTGGATTACTTTCTGCCTGAACAACTGTATTTAGAGGGTTTTAAACTAAAATCTTTTTGTTTTTATTGCTGTAAAAAGTCAAACGAGGATCATTTTCTACTAATGAAAGAAATTATGCATAAATAACTGCCCCAGTGTGATTTTCTGTGCCCACTTGTGTGTCTACTGTGTGTTTGTGATTGTGCCCATGTACATACACACAGGTCAAACAACAAAAAACAGCAGCCACATAGATATACATTTTCTTGTGTAAATACAGTAAGGGTTTTCAAGAAACATGTGCCTTTGTTCTTTAAAATAAATACTGTAATTCCTTTTTTGATGGTGAACACAATGTTTTCTATATTGTTTTTATGGTGTATATCAACTATTCTTTATTACCTGACCTTTTTGTAAGGGTGGAATAAAAAAATAAACACTCATATATGTTTTTGTTATCTCGTGATTGATGATGAACTTATGGGAAATTTGATATTTTCTGAAACCAGTTAAATAATGGCCAAAAAGCAACTCGCTATTATTTAACTGTGTTTATGATTAATGGGAATGTGGCTAGTCTGAACATGCATCATGTTTTGACAACAAACGTCATCCATCTGGTCCATAAAAGGTGGAAGTGGAACTTGCTGATATAACCCAACACTGGGTCAAGGTCAGGTTCTTAATTTGTAGCAGATTTTGTGTTGACATGGATTTGAAAAACACAGTATGTATATATTACAAGTCAGTGTTTTCTAGATTCCATATGGTAAATCTCAGCTCTGTTCCTTGTTTAACTGATCCAAAATGTCAAATGTTTCACATTGTGCTGCCGAGCGAGGAGAATTCTGATCTCCATCATGTCAGTCTTTGACATGTGATTAGACGTGAGTCAGAGGATATTGTCTGGTGTAAATTTACTCCAGGCCCATGTAAGGGACACTACACTCTTCTGAGAGTGAGACAGAGAGAAGGAAATGCCAAAGTGACAACAATTCTCCCAGCGCCTCTTGGGTAAACACTCGGCTCAAACACGGCACGCACACTGAACGGAGGAGATTTTTGTGAGGTTGTTTGACTCATGCTTCACAATAGCACCAGGTGTATATTGACATTCAGGTTTTGTTCAGTGTAATGTTAGTTCCTCATCTTAAGCTACAAATATGTATCGGGAACCTCAGTGTCCAACAACTCCTATTGAAATATTATTATAATAATAGCTTATTTGTCTTACTGCCTTACTCATATGAGCATTTTCAGATAGAACCTCAACCAGAGAGAAGACACTGACAGGCAGATGTTTTACTGTATCCATAATGTATCTGGATGGCACTAAATCAGTGTGGTAGTATCTGAAATGTTATCGGACATATTACGAAACCTCGAATCACTATTTCCACAGATTTCTGACTCCTTATCAGAACAACTTTTACAGCTAAACAGCTACATGACTCTTAGTGATGGGGGACAGAGGGAAACCTTTGATATTTCCACTCTAACACCGTCCTAATTAAGAACAGCGATGCTTTTAAAAAGCCTTCACTGCCTCTTGTTAGCTGCACAGACACCAAATTATTCAGGCAAGTACAAGATGTGACGGATATCTGCAGGAAGGAGGGAGACTGAGAAGCAAGAAAGACAGTCAAAATCTAGAGAGCAAAAAGGCAAACTGTACCTCCATCTCATCTTTTCTCCCCATTCAGCATCAGCATCATGGTGAGGATGGGACAGGAGCGGCTGGTGGCTAAATATACTGCACGCCGTGTTATGGTCGAAATACAAATCCAGACTATAAAACCGAGGCATGCTTTTTCCTTGAATATGATTACATGGAGCCTACAAATGGATAATGCTTTGAAGCCTGATCAAAGAAAGTCTGGATTTTGAAATGGGCTGCAGTGTGTCTACATGCAAAAGGAGTGGATATTGATAGCTGTTTACATGACTACAGCATGTAACCCAGTTTGAGAAAACTCTGCATTGTGTCACTAGCAGTTGGCTTTGTCTGTGAAAAACAGCACAAATGAGCATGAGAGCGCGACACAGCTACCAGAACCGCAATTTGCTACATACTCGCACATACTTAGTATCATGTGATTTTGTGTAAAACCATTTCATATGTGCTAGTTTTTAGGTGCATTTTTCATTTTCATTCACTACAAAGTTACCTGATTTTTAACATTAGCATTCCACAGCTTCATAAAATCCACTGAAATCTATCCTTTAGATGCTTTACATTGTCATAGATCATCAATTTACAGTATATTATTTTTCACTGTAATGGTCATTTCTCAAAATATACCATAAAATCACTTTGTGTTTTATGAGCATATGAAGAATCATTATCATACATCTTTCTGAAACACATTTAAGTTAACAGATGTGCTTCAACCACAACAATCCTGGAGGGCAGAAACACAGCTGTTATCAAAAACATGTGAGGAAAGGATTCAATTCATGCACTGTTATGATTTCAAAACCCCACAGACCCTTTGGCCGTTCATTACAGGTCCAATTAATATACCCAAGCAATGTCCAAACCCCCAAAACTTTTCAAACTGTGAGAAAATGAAGCATTACCTAGATTTTAAATGAGTCGAGGGAAATGCAGAAACATGGTGCATAAATCACATTGAATTTTCTACTAGAGTCATAAAAACAGGATCTTGATTTTATGATGCATAATGAAAAATGTTCCCAATTTGATGCTATTTAAAGGGAACAGAGGGAAACAAAGATGGGGTGGGGGATTATTTTGCACACACTGCAGGGAAATGTCACATACAGGGAGTGAAATGTGTTGTTTAGTGTTTGTGTTTTCAACACTTTATCCCCACAATTACACCTGGCTTGGTTTTCAAGAGGATTGGAAATGTGGGACATTTAACAAGAAATCAGAATAATTTTCATTTAAAGAAGGATTCGCAGCCTCTTCATCCAATTCAACATGAGGAATGTCGCCCGTTGTCTGAGACAAACTGATATTTGTGAAATTTGCCAACTTGTCTCCTTGCCCACATCTTTTGATATAATCTGTAAATAAAGTCTGTCTCTATCGTTACTGCAGGGGGAGAAAATCTGTTTCCTTCTGGCTGTCTGTACAAATGTTTCGACATCTACAGACTAAACACTGTAGCACACAGGTTCTGGTCTCATGATGTGTGTCAGGATTTGTGTCTGGATGTCTTGTTGCATGTCTTCTGCTGGTCTGTAAAGCAGACGTGTTTTCACATTAACCAGCGGAGATATAAAGCTGTGGCATGTAGCTCTAACATGGCATTGCCAGACTGAGGGACTTCAATTCCCTGCACATAAGTCACAGTAGAGCAGGATTACTCAAATATACCAGTACCCCTCCACATGGATGCCCACTGGAAACCGGCCTGGTCCTCATCCCTGGTTTGAAAAGCACTGCAGTCAACCATCACAAAAGCAGATCAGCATCAAACATCCCACTGACACACTGACAAACAATCCTGAGTTCAAAATAACCACTGTACAAAAGCAGGAGCTGTTGCAGACACAGACAGTACCAAGGTCCAACCTCTCAGCGAGTGTTTGCTGAAACCACAGACACGCTGTGATTCCCTGTTACATTACAAGAAAGGCTCTGGTGAATAATCATCCAAGAGATGCTGTGGTTTTGTGCTACGGCACGAGCAACTGAACTGTGTACTTAAGTAAGGCAAAGTAAAATACACACAGGATCATTTCAACACTGTAGCTGTTTGACTAACATCCTGTCAGTCAACAAGAAAAACATCAGCAACAATGTGAAGAGGAGGATATCCCTTTTCTCCTTTCCCCATCCTCTCAACCTTAATGTTTGCAGCAAAGCAAACAATAAGAATATCCAGTGAAACATTCTTGGAGCCTGGAGCCTTATGAGTTTTAATTAAAGGCAAAATAATGCAAAATCATGTTTTTATACTTGCTTGTGCTGCGCCACCTGAATACAAATCCTTTCTGCCACTGGTATGTTTTTACCTCATAGCACCTTGTACTGATTTGACATTAACTGCATATGTTAAATGTATCTGTGTGTATTATAAATTGTTTATCCAGTCATAAAAATATCTGAAAACTAGAAGAAAGCTTGTCATTGCAGCACAATTTCCTGGCCATAAGTGAACATTTGTGGGTTTGACTCTGGGGTTTCAAATGTTAAATACTGTCCCTGATAAGTACATGAGAAAGGAGATACTACATCTTAATCAACCAACACAACAGGCAGTGCTCTGTCGCCACACTGTGGTTTGAACCACACAACACACCCTGTGTCATTTGTCTGTGGATGATTTTGTAGGGATTCTTTAAAATGCACTCTCCATTATTACTGTACATTTAGACTTTAAAAACGATTAAATGAAAGTGAATTACATCAGCCTGCCACACTGGGACACAAAATGTTCCATGATGTCAGAGCAGGAAAAGGCTTTCCCATGTGTATTTAAGTGTTATTTTATAATAATCAAAGTAAATCGATAGAATCGGTGTCGTTCCTCAGTTGGGCATCCTGACACAGGCTGATACAGAGCAGTGGTGGAAGAGTTCAAGTGCTCATTCTGAAAAATACAACTCATATGAAAGTGTTATTCATAAGAAAAATAAAGATGAAACTTGATTATGATCAGATGAAAAGTCTTTCCCCCCCTTTTCAGTTGTTTTTAGACATTTTACTTTAAACAATAATTGCATTTTGGCCAAAAATAGTGAAATAAAATTACCGTATAAAGTCTTCCAAAGTAAATATAAGTACATACAGTAAATGTAAAAGTATTTGTAAAGTTTTACTCTTTAACCACAACAGGACAACTGGTGCAGTGTGTCAGTAGATTTCCATGTAGCAGTTGGTTTGTTTTCAATGGCTCTTCTTGGTAAAACAGCTGTTCCCAGTTCTATCTGATTAGACCTCTGCTCGGATCAGCAAAGCTTATGTTGTCATCTGTTCTACCAAAACTGTGTCTATAACTGACACCAAATTATACTCGGATGTACAGTACACTCGTTTATTGTGTGGCATTAGTGTAACAGTCTGTCAGTAAAACTTTCCCACAGTTTACCGTTTGTGTAGGACTTCGGGGTGATTCCCGCACATCTAATCGTTGTACTGTTTCTGCATCCCGGTTTTGTGCTGAGGGATTTTCTGGCTGGCCGTCTGTCCATCGGTAGTCTGCCCTGGATGAGACGCTTCTCTTCCCAGGCATGACACACTTACTGGGCTGCGGGAGCGAGCCACGGGACAGAGGGACAGAGGGACAGAGACGCGGCGCGGAAGCCAGAGGACAGAGTTAGACGAGAACGGTGAAAAAGAAAAGATGATGACGGCTGGTGATGATCGTATCGACAAAGGAACGGCCATAGAAGAAGAAAAACCAAGCTGTGCTGTTGGAGGATCGACACAGTGATGATGATGATGATGATGAGAGGATATTTGTGTTGTGAGGAGGGGATGCTCGGACGATCGGAGCGCTTCAGCTTCTGTTGATAATCGCGCAGGAAAATCTCGGGTGTCACCGAAGCACTATTCTGAGGAGGTGGGCCAAGTCCCGAGAGGGGGGGGGGAGTGGGAGAGAGAGAGAGAGAGAGAGAGAGAGAGAGAGAGAGAGGCGCTCCTGGTGCCGCTGGTCACACTGGGACGTTGTTGTTGCTGCTGTTGTCAATGATGCGAAGCGACACTCCTGCCAGCGTGTGGACACATTTGTACATTTTTGCAGGTAAGAGGTGTTTCTGCAGGTCTCTTTGCTGCATTGTGTGTCGTTTCCTGTCCTTCCGTCTCCATCCCAAGCCAAACTCTCTCTTCAGTGAAATTATTACAAATGTAGGGTAAATATGACTGTTGTGTATTTCCTACGGATATTTCTGTTTTTTGCTACTTGCTCCCAATCAACTACCTTCCAGAGGCAAATATTCAAAATGTTACTGCTACTTTAAAAAATATATTGTACAGTAATGCATTCTTACAGATTTAACTACCTAACAGTAAACAGTAGTTAAATGTGCTCGACCTCCAACCTGTTAGAACAAGGAAATGCTTGTTATGTATTAATACACCAGTGATAATAATTCAGTATGTATTATTGATGAGATCTTTTAGTTAGTTTTGATGTTTTAAGTACATTCTACTTTTGTACTTAAGAAACATTTTGAATGCAAGCCTTACATTTCTGTATTACCACTGTTCTAAATAGAGAACAGGAGAGACAGTAGTAAAGTAGTACAATATCAAATGTATAGTACTGTAATAGGCAATTACAGTAAAGGTACCATAAAGTACATTTTCCACTGAGAATCACAAACACGTTGTTGGTCCCTATAGGAATATTGTAGGCGTGTTACAGTGATTTTTGGACCGACACTCTCTCTCGCTCAGTTTTCCTCCCACACACTCTAAATCTCTTGTTTCAGCAGTGAAGTACAGTTGCCTTACAACTGTACAGGACCATTGTTTTCATATGCCTTTATCGCTCAGGTCACCATGCACACCAGTACATTAACTATATTAGGCCTATAAAAGAGAGGAAATCCAAACAGGTGCAGGTGATATAACCATGTAGGTCAAGGAAAAACCAGGGCACATGGACTGGATAAGAGAAACTAGGTGGTAAAAATAAAATGCATAACAACCACAATAATTCCCTTGACACAGCTGAAGTGTGGTCATCAGTGGCCTTGTGTTACCAGTGCTAACTCTAATGTTAGCACGTATGATTTTTTTTTTTCACTGACAGTAGTAGACCGTTCGATCCAGAGAGCTTCACAGCACAGTGCACAGTTTTAGTGCTGGGTTTAAGGTAAGAAAGATCATGGGCAACACCTAAAGGACCTTGTCGTCACAGTTATAAACACATGATTAGGGTTATTATTACTGTGGCCATGTCAGGGTTTTGTCATTTGAACACAAACAGGCTGTTTTGGAGCATTTGTTGAATACAAACTGGGTGAAAACCTTCTAAGAGAGGATGAACATCCTCTGCTCCACGAGGGTCGGACCTCTGACCTTCTCACTGTGGGGTCGACTCTGCGACCAAGCCGTTATGGGAATTGAACCGCCAGGCTTTCAACGTTGGCACAGATGCTTTAACCATGAGTCTGCCTGCCCGGCTACAGACCCGGGAGTTATGTGGGATTGGTGCCATTGCCAGGACTGACAGGTTGAATGGATGACAGGGCTATGTAGGCCAAATAGACTGTCAGAGAGAGCTGGGAGGAGATGGATGAGAGGAGGGAGAGAGGGACAGAGAGAAAGAGGGCATCAGAGAGAGAGAGAATACTGGAAAGAGTTGAAGAAATGATGGAGTGCTGTTGTGGCTACAGGCAATACCGAATTCCCTGAGTTTCTCGTTCTCAGACTGGCTCTGTCCTTCACCCTCTCCTCCTCTTTTTCAGCCTGCCTTTATCTAATGTGTGGAGTTTTACAAGCAGCACTGGAGTAACACCTCAGAACTGTGTTAGTTTTGTGGTGACTTGTAAAGTTACTTAAATGTATCTCTTTCACTTTTCATCGTATAGGGTACAGTAGGCTACTTGAAAGTCCAAAATGAGTGACTCTTCCAAAAACAACTAACGTAT